GATACTCAACGACGATATTAGATGTCACTCCTTGATGAATACCGATTTGAAATCAATAGAATCTCTACAAACTTCCAAATGGAATTATGCAAAGTTCTGTTTGATACTTGTAACTTCCTGTTCCTATACAGGGCTGAATTGCTCGACCTCTGTTGGCAGATAGGCTCCTGTCTCGATATTCCCTGACTATATATTATGTTGGAAGCGAGTACTTCCAGCTGACGTGTCCAGAATTCCACTGCTAGCCACTACCCATCATTAACAACAAGAATGTGGTCAATTTTTCCCAGGTCCCCCTTCCCCGGGATGGTGATTTTAAAATGGTGGACTCATAACATAGTGACTTTTGATTCACTGAGATCATAGTAACCTGATCAGCATTACTCCTTCCACTGATTACGTAATCCCTCAGAGAGTATTATTTGTAATACTTAAGTCTTCCACATATTGACCACTGAGAAAGACGAAGATTTGAGTGAGTACACACTTTGTTGAAGCCTTGTCAAAACCGATCTTTCAATACACTACTTTCATACTGAAAATATACATCCATCAAGCGGTTGCATGAATTTGGTTAGTCTTTTTTTGAGGATATGGTGTACAGAACACGAAGAGTATGTTCAAAAGTATAGTCAACAAAGAAATGGATGTCTTGAAGGGAAATATTCTCAGGAAACGGATATCCTGTGAATGGTTGAAGGAAGAATATAATAGTTAAAACAAAAAAGCTAATTACCATCATTTCTGAAAGACAGACTAATTGAAGTTCTCACGAACATACTCAAAAAGACTCTGAAGAAGATGTTCTCACCGATCACTGCAAGGACCCCTTTCACACTTATATGCATCAGCCGCTATAGGTTAAGTGTACACTCCACACAAATGTGCATTGACAAATTGAACTTCTCCTATAGAGGTAGTTATGTTCCACACACTGGGAGGGCTTTGCCGCAACCGGGCTATTATTATTATTATTATTTGTCCCTTGGTTTCCTAGCGGAACATAGGGATTCAGTAACATCCTCCATTCCACTCCCTTGTCTGCAGTCTTCTCAACCTGGCTCCACGACTGTCCAGAGGCTTTCGTTTCCTCCTCACACCATCTCCTCCATGTCACCCTCGACCCGGACGCTCAACTCCTCCCTTCGCATTTGGGTTCCATCCGACGACCTGACCTGGTGTGTGATATCCCCAAAGCGTCTTCTCAGTGTATGTCCAAGCCAATCCATCTCCACTCTCTTCTTCTTCACATTTTTTGGGCGATAGATTCTTGGTTAGTTCGTTGCTAGTCAGACTTCGTTGTTGTTATTTCTTATTATTCTGGCCATCTAATCTTCAGTGTCAGCATTGAGTGAGCATAGGTGGCAGCTGTTGATATGATGTATATCTGTGGTTTGTTGGAAATGCCTTACGTAACGACCCAAGTCTCTGAACCATCACATAGAAGCAATAACTTGACTCGCAACCGGGCTAATGAACATCTACTAGTTTGTTTGTGAAACTTAAAGCGAAGAAGATTACTAGCTGTGTTCACTCGCATCGAATCGACACTGTTCATGTTTTTGACATTAAATATGCCTTTTCAATTATTCATCAGTTACTTGACCATCTGGTACTGGAGGTAAGGATACAAAAATAGCCCATTCCTCTTTGTTCCACAGTCTTCCAGTGTCAGTGATATGAGTTTTCTCTATCCGGATTAGACCAATCTAATCTGAAACAAAATCGACATGTCAGGCCTCAACTAGACGTCCCAGGAACTTTGTGGTCACACAAATCTTTTTCTCTTTGAGGTAGCTTAAAAACGATTAGCCTTCTACAGAGTGGATAGTCGAGAAGTGTCAACTACCCGCATGCTACCGGTAGTACATTATACCTAATTAAACATAACCAGACGGTACGATCTTGCCTTCTGCGAATAGCTGAGGTTAGTAACATTGAAATGATGAAATCACAGCTGTATTGTTCTTCCATGGCCTCGTCTATTACCTAAACTCTAACATAATTTGGTTGTGTAATTGTATGAACTGATTTGTGTATGTGTGTGTGTGCGTGCGCGCGATTTCGTAAATTTATATATAAAGAACTTCTTAAGTTTCTCATCATGTAAATTCGAAGGAGATAATCTTGTTTTCAATTAGATCGTCTTCAAGTTATATTCTAACATAAATAGATAAACATTTGTGTGTAAAAACTAACAATGTTGAAAATTCTCACTGTCAAAATTAGAAGTAGACATGTAACCAAGTGAGCAATATTGTTTTCAATTAGCTCTCATCAGACTTTACTCTAATATACATAAATTTTCTCATATAGAAAAGATTAAACCAATCATGCTGAATTCTTCAAGCTGTGGTTACAAAGAAGCGGAGTTTGGAAATAGTAAATATTTCAGATAATAGTAATGGATTGTGGCTAGCAGTGGAATCCAGGATGCACATTTCGTCCTATTTAGGACTCGTCAGCTGGACGTAAGTGCCTCTCTCCCAGTGGGTGATGCTACTCCCATCGGGGTTCCAACTCGGGAGCGATCACTTCAAACGCTAGCGCGTCGTCCACTACACCACCGAGCCACGATACCCATTCCTTGTGCAACGGGTATAGTTTTTAGTATAATTGTTTCTATATCATACCGTTATTGATTGGACTGAATCCCGGTGGGAACAACATCACTCACTGGTAGGGAGGTACATCCAACTGACGAGTGCCAAATAGGATGAAATGCGCATCCTAGATTCCACTGTTAGCCACTATCCATCATTAACATAATTAGAACGCTGGCAATATCGAGGCATCCTCACACGAGCCCATATGCCAATAGAGACTGATCAGTTCGGTCCAATCAACGACCGTATGATATAGAAACAATTATACTTATCATTATTATTATCACTAGTTTGACTACCTGCGATAGCCGTCGTTTGGCAGACTCCTTTTACTGATGCTACGTGATGATTTGAAGGTGAAACGAAAATCTGACCTGTAGTAGGATTCGAATGAGTAACTTCCAGGTTATCGATCAGATACTGTACCCACTGACCTACGGGTGCTAAGAATAATGAGAACAGATCGGTACTGTTGGTATTCAAACAATCAATGTAGGTTGAAACTTAGGAAATCGATAGAAGTCGAATAATGCTAAAGAGTGTTGTATGCGGTTAGTCAAAGTCTCAGCAAATAAGCATGTGTGTGAAAGGGGGGGGAGAAAAGGAAAGGGGCGAAAAATTAACGAGCCCCAAATAGGACGAAACGCAAGTCGTGGATTCTTCTGCTAGTCACTAAAACCGATGAAGTTGTTTATTAAGTATTTCCTGGCCAAACTTCTACTAGGTACAAAGACTAGGACTATTAGCTTGAATCCCCACAGTTTCTGCTATGTATAAAGGACGAGATCGAATACGTTTCAAAAGATTAGATGGTATACCTGTGAATAGTCGTGAAAGCATTATTCTCATGTACCAAGCGACCACTACCAGTGAGACGAGACAAAACAGAACTTCTGGTGGATTTTATCTGTCCCTTTTTTAGCCATGAAGGTAGATCCCCAGCAGCATATTTGTTGAGTTGTCCAGTAGTACCCCTGCATACCTTTCCTCGTAAAAGCAAGTAAACTTATAAATACACAGAGAAACGGCAAATCTGAGTAATAAAGACTTTTAACTCAAAAACTTACCAAATATTCGTTTAACTGTCGATATGTGTTGATATTTTAGTGTATTTAAAGGGCGCGACTGATGAAGCTTCGACGAAATTCCATATTTACTCAAATTTCCATCTTCCTAATCATACAGTACGCGCATTCGGTTCAAATCAACTATAACTTTTTAACAGTAATTTTTAGTGTTATTGCTTGTATTACACCGTCGTTGATTGGACAGAATTGATCAGTCTCTGTTGGCACTGCTAGCCAATGCCCATCATTACTAAACATAGTTAAAAGACAGGCCATATCGAGGCATCGGTATAGGAGCCCATATGCCAACAGAGGCTGATCAATTCGGTCCAGTCAACGACGGTGTAATACAAGCAATAGCACTAAACCTATACCCGTCACACAAGAAGTGGCTATCGTGGCTCGGTGGTGTAGTGGATAACGCACTGGCGTTTGAAGTGATCGCTCCCGAGTCCGAGTCCCGGTGGGAAGAACATCACTCACTGGGAAGCAGGTACATCCAGCTGATGAGTCCCAAATAGGACGAAATGCGCATCCTAGATTCCACTGTTAGCCACTGCCCATCATTACTAAACATAATAATTCTTAGCTTTTCATCTCTTCAGCATTTTTACCTCTGACTTTTTATGACGTCTGAGTTACTGTGCAACTATTCTAATCCCCATTGTAATTTTAGACATTTTGCATCTGATGTCCACCTTTAAAACCAGGTGAAACCAAATTGCTTTGTTCAAACTTAATAAACCAAGTAAATGCCAAGTGAATAACACTTTGGAGTTCAGTTGAATGGGTACTGGGTTCGAGGCTTAATGGGAATATCATCACTCATTGGAGTTCAGGTACATCCCAGTTGACGAGTCCTAAATGAGATGGAACACTCCAACTTGACTGCACTGCCAACCACTAAGTAGGCTACCATAAAAATGCATGAAAATAAAATTTCCCTGTTGACTATGCAAGGAATCGACAAGCCAATCATAATCATTCACCGACTAATATCGATTGATATAATTAATTCGTACAATAAATGACCTCATTCACCTGTTATAGTATTTAATTAATCAATCAGCATGTTTTCATTTTGCAAATGAAATGGACAACACCTTTTTGTGTTGTCCATTTCATTAAAGCATAATAAGGATGTGGAAAAAGAAAACAAAACTTCACCAACTAACATATCTTGTCAATTGTGTGTCGTATATAAAGACAATGCATAAATTAATCTAAGAGAAAATATCTAACTGACCAATCATATTCAAGTATTTTACATGAATATGATTGGCTAAAATATAACCAAGATTTTCCTATCATTATCTAGTCATACAAAATGATATGTCCGAGGTAATATTGCATAGAAAGACGTGAAACACTTTACTGAATTATTATTATTATTATTCCAGATATATTTTTCAAGAGTATAATGTCTTCAATATTTTATACATTTACATACTGAATATATATAAATATTAATTGGATCGATTTTTCTTATACAGTATTATTGAATAACACGTGAAAAAAGGCATATACAAACACGTGTAATCAATCTCTTATAATGTGGATTCATAAAATTAATCAATACATTGAGTTGATTATCCTATATCATATATTGTGTATTCTATTATTATCTATTAAAACTGATTCATCTATAGATGTATCACAATTACATGATCAATCATATTCAGATATCATATGGGCATATGATATGTCAAGATCATATTTATGGTCACCAAAAACTCCATTAAATGTATGGCCTGATTTTAAGCCTATACAACAATGTGATACATATGATTTTATAAATTTTCAACCGAATTTAAATAAATTATCGTTTATTAGCAATCAATTTGAATGGACAAGTATAAGTATATTCAATTCAGAACAAATTAAACGTGGATATATTTTACTCGGTGGATCATATAGACGTCAACAACCAGATTCATTAAAATTGAGTGATACTGTTTCACCAAGAGAAAATAGCCATATATTTCTGTGTAGTTTAAATATAAAATCTGAGAATGAAACACTATTAGGCTTTGGATTCAATGAAAAAGCCTGTATTCTCTTAAATCAAACTTCTAATGATCATGAATTTTTGGGTGCATCAAGTCAAGCATTGAAAATTAATCAAGATCTCAGTATATTTGTCTATTGTGATCCATTATGGAGAGCTGGTTCAAAAGTTCCTGTTGGTAGATGTTTTTCACATATTGTACATAATGGACAAGTTCAACGAAGTTTAGAGTTAGCTGATTTCTGTCAAACTGGTATGCAAGTTGCTACACCATGTGCAGCTGGTCAAAGTATTGCTCTATCATTAGATGAAGTTAATGGGAAGGTGACTAAATCAATTACAGATTTACTTTCAACAGTTAGACTTTGGGTTGGTGAACCATTGTCAACTCCACATGGACGTATACAAATATTGACTGATCTGTATGGTACAATGAAATTGATCACTATACCAAGACCAGAGAATACTGAAAGTATGGCAATTGGTTCATTTTTTGGTTATGCACTAACTGAAGGCTTTGTCACAGCTCCTGGCCTACTCAATCGTGAACAAGGCAATTATACTAATCCTATCCATCTGGTCGGTATTCATTTGGCTAAGTCAACCAGAGATACAACAAATGGATTTTATGGTATTGTTGACTGGTTCCCTGAAACTAGTATGTCTGATCAATTCTCTGGAAATGGTATGTCTGTTCTAAGAGTACACCTGAAAGGACCTTATATCAAGAGTGTTATCATGGGTGCACCATATGCACGAAATACTGAAATGAAGGAGAATAAAACGGACAGTACTCAGTCAACAGTTTATAACAGAGGAAGAATTTATTTATTTTGTCAATCAGATCATGGTATCAGTTTGAAATCAGATATGCATCAAGTATCTACAACATTCGATTATTTAGACGGTCCAAAAGGTTCAACAAATTTTGGCTTTGCTTTAACTAACCTCGGTGACTTCGATGGAGATGGTAATGATGATGTGGCAGTCGGTGCACCGGACTTGGAAAACACTACCGGTTTTAGTCATATCTATTTAATACGTGTATTATCAACTTGTCAATTTGACAGAACACCTTTACACATATTAACTAGCCCTCAAGGTGCTTATGATTTCGGTGCTCATCTACCCTCACATACTTCTGACTTAGATTTCAACGGTTTAAATGATCTTGTTGTGCCAATATCCTCGTCTAAGCAGACATTGAATCAGGCTGCTGTTGTTGTATATGCTACAAGACGTTCTTGGACAGCTGAATGTCATTTCACTTTTCCACCATGGTTAGCAATTAGAAATCTCTTAGAAAATGATAAAATCCCTGTACAAATTATGATATACTTTAAAGATGCAAAGAATAAATTCTCTTTATCTGATCATGCTGAGATGAATCTTTTCAATTCATCACAATTCAATAGATTTATTCATCAAATCAATACAGACTGGAATGCTAGTGAAGTGAATGAACAACGTTTCACTTTAGCTAGCCCTATTGAACCACACTTAGAAATGAAACAGAGTCAACTTGTTATCGATTTTGATATTCAAGCGAAAATGAATGTTGAAGATATGCATGATTTAGAGTTAGAGACAGGTGGTGTCTTCTTAGGCTATCGATTTCTACAACCATGTTATGGTGATCAAAGTGTAATTGATCAGAATGGTACTTGTTTGAATGGTGGCTGGTTGAAACGTCCACTAATTGATTGGTCTAAGTGTATAGCTAAAATCCCATTGGCACGTTATGTATGCTATCCAAGTCCAATGTGTGAAAGTGATGTGGCAATTCGTGTGAAAGACTTAAGATCTGGACAAATTATTGCCTCAGATTATATAAACGATCGACAAAAGTCCTCTATTACTCAAAAGAATAATTCTAGTGATAACAGTAATACTAATATCAGTGATATTCAAGGTTCTATACCAAGTACCAGTATTGATATAGAATACGGGAATACAAACACTTCTAGACCACAAATACAAATTGAGATCTACAACTATGGGCCAACTAAAGCACAAGGTACACGTTTGGAGTTACAATTTCACGGGAATTTACGATTCTCACGACTTGAATTTGAAGTAGACTCTTCAGAAGCTGGCAGTGTTAGTCATTCAGAACCATTGATGGTTGAAGTGTCAGAGAATGAAACATGGGTACATTGTCCTATTGGAACTTTGTTAGCTCCTGTGATAATGTTGGATACTGGGAGTGAAATAATTGAACCTAGTCAACGATTTATTCTTTCAACATATTATGATAAATTTGTATCTGATGATGAGGTTGACTTTCAACTTGGCGCTGGTGTTACTATAAATGTAATAACTGGGACTCCAGACCCACAACCAATTAGTAATTCTGTACGCTTAAACTATCGTGTTGTTCATAAACCGAATATAAGAATTTCATATGGACCAGGTGGAATAACAAGTCGAATGGATAACCGTTCAACTCCATTGAAACGTATTCCAAGTCAACAACAACGTGTCCTTGTCTCTGAAATCGGTCCAAAAGTTGAGCATACACTACAGATTGAATATATGGGACCATCGAATAGACTGAAAAATGTCAGTATGAGTGTAATGGTACCAGTTGAATTAAATCCTGAGGATAGAGTTGGCGGCAGTATACCCCAGTATATACTTTATATGTTTAATGAAATACGTGCACCATCATATGGGAATAATGCTCTTGAATGGATTGATGTTCGACCCAAAGTAATCGCTATGGGTAGAAATAGTGATCAAGATGTCAGTAAGGTTGGCACTTGTACAATAGTGAATAGTGAAAAGGTTATCAACCCACGTGGTGTTATTCCAATGGATGTAGAAACATGTAAGTAATTTTTGATAATATTGATTTTTATCCGGTAGAATTATTCTTTTACAGATGACTCCCACTTCACCCTAGTTCATATATACCAGGACAAGCAAAGTCAATCATCTTAGGGATTTGGAGATAATCGTGAGGAGGACGTAGGATAAGGCTATATGACTCTTGCAATTTGCTGGTAAGCATAATCTATGAACCTTGAGGAGACTGACATTCTCTCAAAAATTGGAACCCTTACTACACGGTTCCGGTTACAGAGACTATCCGCTCTCTTCATTCTTATTTACTTTTGTCGTAAATATGCTTGTTTATTATTATTTTTTTTTTCCCTTGAGTTCCTAGTGGAACATAGGGATTCAGTAACACGTCGCCACTTCACTCTCTTTTCTACAGTTTCTCAACCTGGCTCCACCACTACCCACAAGCTTTCATTTCTCTTCACACGGCCAACCTCTCCATGTCACTCACCCTCGCCTCCAACGCCCAATTCGTCATTTCCCATTTGGCTCCCACTCGATGGCCTGACCTGGCACTCGATGTCTCCAAACCGTCTTCTCAGTGTATATCCAACCCATCTCCACTCTCTTCTACATATTTGTTGGGTGATTCCTTCTCGGTTGGTTCGTGACCAGCTAGCCAGCCAGCCACATTTCCTTCTTACTCATTCTTATCATCCTGGACATCTCATCGATCTTCATTGTCAGTATCGAGTGAGCATACGTGGCAGCTGTTCATGTCATATATGTCTGTAGTTTGTTAGAAATGCTCTTCGTAACGTGCCAAGTCTCCCAACCATCACACTGAAGTAGTGACTTACTTGACTGAATTAGTGTTGAAAATCTGGATGTTGTTCAGGCTTTATGCTGAATGCATTGTGGTGCAGTGGAGTGCAGTGTATCTCCACAATGATTATTTCAGATTGATGAAAGAAGGCCTTTCTTGCTGTCTTTCCGATCCTGGCTCTGATGTCGTTATCTGTGCCTACGCCGCCTATAGTTGAGAGGATGCTACCTACGTAGGTAGGTGGGTGAAATGGACAACTTCGTTCAGATTTCTCCCGTTCATGGTGATTGGTGCTTGTTTACGCAGGTCTCTTTCTTGTCGTATGACTTTACACGAATTAAGGTGGTCACAACAGACTCCTTAGTTGACCTCAGGTTGGCGGATGACGCAGTCCTGCTTGGCGAAGACGTAAAGTTTTTTTGACAATTTAAGAATGTTTGGGATGTATTTCTTATTATTCAAATCCAAGTGTTCGGTTTATAATTGATGTGCTTTGCTGCCACATTGGATAATAGAGACCACTTCACTCAAACACAGGAAATCGAATCAACTCTGGAGAGTCAGTGATAAGGGAAATCTTTGCGCAGATATAAAAGGCCAGTTTGGCCTTCACTAGTCTACAGCGTTTATGACGCCACTGTAACTTCTGATTAGTTGTTAACGACCAAGTATAGTGCGCTGCAGTTCACTCTGTCCTACTATTTGTCTGTAAAGCAGGACTATTTAAGGTAAAGAATGTGAGAAATATCCAGGTGTTCGACCATGGTTGCCATCGAGTATAGGCTGTTTGTCATGGTTCGACCACGTCATTAACTTGGTGGTTATGACTGAGATATGTGTCACGCATGTCTAGTCACTATCTGGCCGATCGTGCAATATTAACTGAAGTAGGTTTAGGTTGGATTAAAGTTAAAAATGACCGGATAGAAATGTGGTTTCAATGTGCGAATTTTCTGGCTGTTGTATGAGTCATGCCGGTTTTACTATTGGGGTCAGTGTGACGATATAAACCAGCGGTCGTCAACCACGCTTTATCTTCATCTTAATCGTCATAGTGAATTCCACTATTGTTTCATTCCTTCTTTTTTTCTGTGACTTTCTACCACTTTCGATAACGTTCTTCCTTATGTCTCTGTATTTTATCTTGGTGCCTTCTATCTTCATGGTGCTGACTGACTGACTGACACACCGTGAATTATACTCATGAGACAACCACTGAATGATAACCGATCATCAACGTATAAGTTCTTATGTACCAATTATTGATCACTACATCATCCATAATGAGTAATTTATCTAGTCACTACGAGTCAACAATTGTTTGCTGTCTGATGTTAGTTAGATCTATGAACGCGAATTCTGTCTTCAGGCATAACTCAACATTTGTTGGTCACAGTTAGGTAAATAAGATCTCAGCAATACATTCTTGTAAAAATACTATTGAAATCCTTATCGATTGATACCGCAAACATGTTTGTACATGAGTGATAATCCTTCCTTGCACATAATTGATATAAGATGCATCTCTGTCCCCCCACGGTGAGAAACTAGTATCAGAAGACAGACTACAACCAGTGAAATAAGCTAAAAAAGCAAATTACAAACATGGAAATATTTTTACTGATACGGTGTGGTAATTGGAGGTGAAATGAAAGTCTGGACCACCGCAGGATTCCAACCAGCGATCTACAAGTTGCCGGTCCTATGCTCTTCCAAGATTGAAGTGATATTAATTTCTGGTGGTTGGCATGTGGTTCTCGTAACTCCGGTAGTCTCGAATTCGCTGGGTCGAATCCTGCCACTGCCTAGATTTTCATTTCACCTTCAGCTATCACTTAGTGTCAATCATACAAGTTCGTCAAACTACAGCTATTTCAGATAGTCAAACTGGCGAAATATTTTAATAACCAGTTAGTGACCACTATGAGATAGACACGTAGAAGTTAATGATGACCGAATCCCATTGGGGAAATCAGCAATGTAGTCGTTAGGCGAAATAACTGGGTCTCACCAATCCAACTGTTTTGCGTCAGCTGGTTATAGGCACTTAGTGGAAGCTCTTTCTTACCTAAGTTGCGTGTTTCTTATTACTCGTCAGTAGAGAGCGTCTGCATCCTCAAAATAACTGATACCTCTTCTGAAATCTGGATCCGTATCACCCAGTACTACAATCCGATGCCTTACCACTGTCATTCGGGTGATGACGAACGTCACGTAGGGTTAAATGACGGATGGTGGCTAGCAGTGAAATCCAGGATGCGCATTTCGTCCAATTTGGGACTCGTCAACTGCATGTACCTGCCTCCCTCCCAGTGAGTGATGCCGCTCCCACCGGGGTTCCAACTCGGGAGCGATCACTTCAAACGCTAGCGCGTCGTCCACTACACCACCGAGCCACGATAGCCATTCCTTGTGAGACGGGTATAGTTTTTAGTATAATTGTTTCTATATCATACCGTTGTTGATTAGACCGAATCCCGGTGGGAACAACATCACTCACTGGTAGGGAGGCACATCCAGCTGACGAGTGCCAAATAGGACGAAATGCGCATCCTAGATTCCACTGTTAGCCACTATCCATCATTAACATAATTAGAACGCTGGTAATATCGAGGCATCCTCACACGAGCTTATATGCCAATAGAGACTGATCAATTTAGTCAAATTAACGACGGTATGTTACGAAAACAAGTCACGTAGGGTTGATCACTAGGAGACGATAAAAAGCTTTGAACCTTGACATTATGTTTGTTGGTTCTTATCAGCAAAATTTTGACTATCAAAATCTTAAAGAGGACTAGGATACTTAGTGTTATTGCTTGTACTACACCGTCGTTGATTGGACCGAATTGATCAGTCTCTGTTGGCATATGGGCTCCTATGCGGATGCCTCGATATGGCCTGTCTTTTAACAATGTTTAGTAATGTGTCCCGGTGGGAACAACATCACTCACTGGTAGGGAGGTACATCCAACTGACGAGTGCCAAATAGACGAAATGCGCATCCTAGATTCCACTGCTAGCCACTGCCCATCATTACTAGACTAGGATACTCCTTGTAAGATGTAATCAGTCCCTCTCCCCTTCTAGGTTAAAGGTGTTACTAATGTACTTTTATACAAACTATAAGACATGATTGTTGAAAACTGAATACAATGGTGAGCTAGTTCTCTTACCGGTATAAACTGTTTAACATTTCACTACACTCTACACCTGGTAAACACTGAGTCAGCAAACACGTAAACACACGCTGAATGTCCCATATAATAGTCATCATCAATAAACTAATTTATATCTTTCTATCAAAGGTGAGTGGACACTCACTAAGATCGATTAAAAAAAGGTAACAATGTATCTTTTCCATGATTAGTCAATGCTGATTATCCACTTCTAGTGTGGACGATATATTAGTGAGTAACGAAACAAAAAACCATAGGGAAAATGTAAAAATATGTTTTTGAAACATGAGATATATTTATTCACGAGTGTTTGTGTGTGTATGTGTGCAGTACTTCTGTCTTCGGTATTCATTGTCCACTTTCATCAGCATTCTGCATTCCTGGAATGTTTATTTTATCACCCCGTTCTCGTTTGTATATATGACAGGGATGGGGTGGAGGGATAAAGGATGGAAATAAGGCGAATATATGTGAAATATTTCATTCAGCGCGAAAAATATATTTCTTCCATCATGCTGTTGACTTTCTTTGCATTGTGTTTGTTTAAATAACTGTTCTGAGGGACATAGCATCAACAAGGTAATCGATATTAGTCATGATTGTTAAGTTTACTGTTACTGTCCTGCTACCATTATGGGTTCTTTAGTGTACTATATGATATTTATACTACAAGTTTAGGAGTATAAGTTAGCCTGAGATGAATTATTTGTGCGTAGATGGAACTCTTTGATTTCTATTGGTCGACTTTAGCTTTCTGTATACAATATGAAGTTATTTATCTGACCTTCCTGAAGAAACCCCTTGCCTTAAGGGACTACGATAACAGTACAGGAGTTGGGGAAATCTTAGAACCTTAGAATGGCAGAATGTAATTCCATTTTAATTTATATAGTAGAATTGTCACATAGTGGATAACGTTTTGGACACAATTTATTGTCCATAGTCATATCAGGTAACTAACTCCACAACTTTGAGACAGATTTAATATAGTCCTTATTTTCCCTCCTTCTTTGTGATGATAAGGGTAGTAGAATTTTGGAT